TGATCCTAAAACCAGTCCTCAAACCATTTCTCAATCTTGTCCTCAAACAAGTTCTGAAATAAGTGCTAGATATTATCCTAAAACTAGTTCTCAAACAGTTCCTCAATTTGATCCTAAAACAAGTCCTAAAACAAGTCCTAAATCTGATCCTAAAACTAGTTTTGCAACAATTCCTCAATCTGATCCTAAAACCAGTCCTGAAATAAGTCCACAATCTGTTCCTAAAACTAGTCTTTCAACAAGTCCTCAATCTGAACCTAACATTTGTCCCTAAGCAATTCCTTAATCTGATCTTAAAACAAGTCCAGAGACAAGTCCTAAATCTGAACCTAAAACTTTTCCTTAAAAAGTTCTTAATCTGTTCTACAAGAAGTACCAAAATAATCCTAAATATGATCCTAAAACTAGACCTCAATGTGATCCTAAAACTAGTTTTCAAACAATTCCTCAATCTGATCCTAAAACCAGTCCTGAAATAAGTCCACAATCTGTTCCTAAAACAAGTTCTCAAACATTTTCTCAATCTGTTCCTAAAAAAAATCCTGAAACAAGTCCTAAATCTAATCCTACAACTAGTTCACAAACAATTTCTCAATTTGATCCTAAAACAAGTCCAAAACAAGTCCTAAATCTAATCCTAAAACTAGTTCATATACAAGTCCTAAATCTGATCCTAAAACTAGTCTTTTCCTAAAACAAGTCCTGAAACAAGTCCTAAATCTGTTCCTAAAACAAGTTCTCAAACATTTCCTCAATCTGATCCTAAAACCAATCCTCAAACCATTTCTCAATCTTATCCTCAAACAAGTTCTGAAATAAGTGCTAGATATTATCCTAAAACTAGTTCTCAAACAATTCCTCAATTTGATCCTAAAACAAGTCCTAAATCTGATCCTAAAACTAGTTTTGCAACAATTCCTCAATCTGATTCTAAAACTAGTCCTGAAATAAGTCCACAATCTGTTCCTAAAACTAGTCTTTCAACAAGTCCTCAATCTGAACCTAACATTTGTCCCTAAGCAATTCCTTAATCTGATCGTAAAACAAGTCCTGAGACAAGTCCTAAATCTGAACCTAAAACTTTTCCTTAAAAAGTTCTTAATAAATTAAAACAATTCCTCAATCTGATCCTAAAACCAGTCCTGAAATAAGTCCACAATCTGTTCCTAAAACAAGTTCTCAAACATTTACTCAATCTGATCCTAAAACTTGTCTCTGAACAATTCCTTAATCCAATCCTATAACAAGTTCTAAATCTGATCCTAAAACTAGTCCTTAAACAAGTCCTCAATCTTTTCCTAAAACAAGTCCTGAAACAAGTCCTAAATCTGATCCTAAAACTAGTTTTCAAACAATTCCTCAATCTGATCCTAAAACCAGTCCTGAAATAAGTCCACAATCTGTTCCTAAAACAAGTTCTCAAACAATTCCTCAATCTGATCCTAAAACCAGTCCTCAAACCATTTCTCAATCTTATCCTCAAACAAGTTCTGAAATAAGTGCTAGATATTATCCTAAATCTAGTTCTCAAACAATTCCTCAATTTGATCCTAAAACAAGTCCTAAAACAAGTCCTAAATCTGATCCTAAAACTAGTTTTGAAACAATTCCTCAATCTGATCCTAAAACCAGTCCTGAAATAAGTCCACAATCTGTTCCTAAAACTAGTCTTTCAACAAGTCCTCAATCTGAACCTAACATTTGTCCCTAAGCAAATCCTTAATCTGATCTTAAAACAAGTCCTGAGACAAGTCCTAAATCTGAACCTAAAACTTTTCCTTAAAAAGTTCTTAATCTGTCCTACAACAAGTCCCAAAATAATCCTAAATATGATCCTAAAACTAGACCTCAATGTGATCCTAAAACTAGTTTTCAAACAATTCCTCAATCTGATCCTAAAACCAGTCCTGAAATAAGTCCACAATCTGTTCCTAAAACAAGTTGTCAAACATTTCCTTAATCTGTTCCTAAAACAAATCCTGAAACAAGTCCTAAATCTGATCCTACAACTAGTTCACAAACAATTTCTCAATTTGATCCTAAAACAAGTCCAAAACAAGTCCTAAATCTAATCATAAAACTAGTTCTTAAACAAGTCCTAAATCTGATCCAAAAACTAGTCCACAAACAATTCCTTAATGTGATCCTAAAACAAGTCCTCAAACCGATTCTCAATCTAATCCTAAAACAAGTTCTGGAGTAAGTGCTAGATATGATCCTAAAACTGGTTATCAAACAATTCCTCAATTTGATCCTAAAACAAGTCCTCAAACCGATTCTCAATCTAATCCTAAAACAAGTTCTGGAGTAAGTGCTAGATATGATCCTAAAACTGGTTATCAAACAATTCCTCAATTTGATCCTAAAACAAGTCCTAAAACAAGTCCTAAATCTGATCCTAAAACTAGTATTCAAACAATTCCTCAATCTGATCCTAAAACCAGTCCACAATCTGTTTCTAAAACAAGTTCTCAAACATTTACTCAATCTGATCCTAAAACTTGTCTCTGAACAATTCCTTAATCCAATCCTATAACAAGTTCTAAATCTGATCCTAAAACTAGTCCTTAAACAAGTCCTCAATCTTTTCCTAAAACAAGTCCTGAAACAAGTCCTAAATCTGATCCTAAAACTAGTTCTCAAACAATTCCTGTTTTAGGATCAAATTGAGGAATTGTTTGAGAACTAGTTTAAGGATAATATCTAGCACTTATTTCAGAACTTGTTTGAGGATAAGATTAAGAAATGGTTTGAGGACTGGTTTTAGGATCAGATTGAGGAAATGTTTGAGAACTTTTTTTAGGAACAGATTTAGGACTTGTTTCAGGACTTGTTTTAGGAAAAGATTGAGGACTTGTTTAAGGACTAGTTTTAGGATCAGATTTAGAACTTGTTATAGGATTGGATTAAGGAATTGTTCAGAGACAAGTTTTAGGATCAGATTGAGTAAATGTTTGAGAACTTGTTTTAGGAACAGATTGTGGACTTATTTCAGGACTGGTATTAGGATCAGATTGAGGAGTTGTTTGAATACTAGTTTTAGGATCAGATTTAGGACTTGTTTTAGGACTTGTTTTAGGATCAAATTGAGGAATTGTTTGAGAACCAGTTTTAGGATCATATCTAGCACTTACTTCAGAACTTGTTTTAGGATTAGATTGAGAAACGGTTTGAGGACTTGTTTTAGGATCACATTGAGGAATTGTTTGTGGACTAGTTTTTGGATCAGATTTAGGACTTGTTTAAGACTTAGTTTTATGATTAGATTTAGTACTTGTTTTGGACTTGTTTTAGGATCAAATTGAGAAATTGTTTGTGAACTAGTTGTAGGATCAGATTTAGGACTTGTTTCAGGATTTGTTTTAGGAACAGATTGAGGAAATGTTTGAGAACTTGTTTTAATAACAGATTGTGGACTTATTTCAGGACTGGTTTTAGGATCAGATTGAGGAATTGTTGCAAAACTAGTTTTAGGATCAGATTTAGGACTTGTTTTAGGACTTGTTTTAGGATCAAATTGAGGAATTGTTTGAGAACTAGTTTTAGGATAATATCTAGCACTTATTTCAGAACTTGTTTGAGGATAAGATTGAGAAATGGTTTGAGGACTGGTTTTAGGATCAGATTGAGGAAATGTTTGAGAACTTGTTTTAGGAACAGATTTAGGACTTGTTTCAGGACTTGTTTTGGGAAAAGATTGAGGACTTGTTTAAGGACTAGTTTTAGGATCAGATTTAGAACTTGTTATAGGATTGGATTAAGGAATTGTTCAGAGACAAGTTTTAGGATCAGATTGAGTAAATGTTTGAGAACTTGTTTTAGGAACAGATTGTGGACTTATTTCAGTACTGGTATTAGGATCAGATTGAGGAGTTGTTTGAATACTAGTTTTAGGATCAGATTTAGGACTTGTTTTAGGACTTGTTTTAGGATCAAATTGAGGAATTGTTTGAGAACCAGTTTTAGGATCATATCTAGCACTTACTTCAGAACTTGTTTTAGGATTAGATTGAGAAACGGTTTGAGGACTTGTTTTAGGATCACATTGAGGAATTGTTTGTGGACTGGTTTTAGGATCAGATTTAGGACTTGTATATGAACTAGTTTTAGGATTAGATTTAGGACTTGTTTTGGACTTGTTTTAGGATCAAATTGAGAAATTGTTTGTGAACTAGTTGTAGGATTAGATTTAGGACTTGTTTCAGGATTTGTTTTAGGAACAGATTAAGGAATTGCTTAGGGACAAATGTTAGGTTCAAATTGAGGACTTGTTGAAAGACTAGTTTTAGGAACAGATTGTGGACTTATTTCAGGACTGGTTTTAGGATCAGATTTAGGACTTGTTTTAGGACTTGTTTTAGGATCAAATTGAGGAATTGTTTGAGAACTAGTTTTAGGATAATATCTAGCACTTATTTCAGAACTTGTTTGAGGATAAGATTGAGAAATGGTTTGAGGACTGGTTTTAGGATCAGATTGAGGAAATGTTTGAGAACTTGTTTTAGGAACAGATTGTGGACTTATTTCAGGACTGGTTTTAGGATCAGATTGAGGAATTGTTTGAAAACTAGTTTTAGGATCAGATTTAGGACTTGTTTCAGGACTTGTTTTAGGATCAAATTGAGGAATTGTTTGAGAACTAGTTTTAGGATCAGATTTAGGACTTGTTTTGGACTTGTTTTAGGATCAAATTGAGAAATTGTTTGTGAACTAGTTGTAGGATCAGATTTGGGACTTGTTTCAGGATTTGTTTTAGGAACAGATTGAGGAAATGTTTGAGAACTTGTTTTAGGAACAGATTGTGGACTTATTTCAGGACTGCTTTTAGGATCAGATTGAGGAATTGTTTGAAAACTAGTTTTAGGATCACATTGAGGTCTAGTTTTAGGATCATATTTAGGATTATTTTGGGACTTGTTGTAGGACAGATTAAGAACTTTTTAAGGAAAAGTTTTAGGTTCAGATTTAGGACTTGTCTCAGGACTTGTTTTAAGATCAGATTAAGGATTTGCTTCGGGACAAATGTTAGGTTCAGATTGAGGACTTGTTGAAAGACTAGTTTTAGGAACAGATTGTGGACTTATTTCAGGACTGGTTTTAGGATCAGATTGAGGAATTGTTGCAAAACTAGTTTTAGGATCAGATTTAGGACTTGTTTTAGGATCATATTTAGGATTATTTTGGTACTTCTTGTAGAACAGATTAAGAACTTTTTAAGGAAAAGTTTTAGGTTCAGATTTAGGACTTGTCTCAGGACTTGTTTTAAGATCAGATTAAGGAATTGCTTAGGGACAAATGTTAGGTTCAGATTGAGGACTTGTTGAAAGACTAGTTTTAGGAACAGATTGTGGACTTATTTCAGGACTGGTTTTAGGATCAGATTGAGGAATTGTTGCAAAACTAGTTTTAGGATCAGATTTAGGACTTGTTTTAGGACTTGTTTTAGGATCAAATTGAGAAATTGTTTGAGAACTAGTTTTAGGATAATATCTAGCACTTATTTCAGAACTTGTTTGAGGATAAGATTGAGAAATGGTTTGAGGACTGGTTTTAGGATCAGATTGAGGAAATGTTTGAGAACATGTTTTAGGAACAGATTGTGGACTTATTTCAGGACTGGTTTTAGGATCAGATTGAGGAATTGTTGCAAAACTAGTTTTAGGATCAGATTTAGGACTTGTTTTAGGACTTGTTTTAGGATCAAATTGAGGAATTGTTTGAGAACTAGTTTTAGGATAATATCTAGCACTTATTTCAGAACTTGTTTGAGGATAAGATTGAGAAATGGTTTGAGGACTGGTTTTAGGATCAGATTTAGGACTTGTTTTAGGACTTGTTTTAGGATCAAATTGAGGAATTGTTTGAGAACCAGTTTTAGGATCATATCTAGCACTTACTTCAGAACTTGTTTTAGGATTAGATTGAGAAACGGTTTGAGGACTTGTTTTAGGATCACATTGAGGAATTGTTTGTGGACTAGTTTTTGGATCAGATTTAGGACTTGTTTCAGGACTTGTTTTAGGAAAAGATTGAGGACTTGTTTAAGGACTAGTTTTAGGATCAGATTTAGAACTTGTTATAGGATTGGATTAAGGAATTGTTCAGAGACAAGTTTTAGGATCAGATTGAGTAAATGTTTGAGAACTTGTTTTAGGAACAGATTGTGGACTTATTTCAGGACTGGTATTAGGATCAGATTGAGGAGTTGTTTGAATACTAGTTTTAGGATCAGATTTAGGACTTGTTTTAGGACTTGTTTTAGGATCAAATTGAGGAATTGTTTGAGAACCAGTTTTAGGATCATATCTAGCACTTACTTCAGAACTTGTTTTAGGAAAAGATTGAGGACTTGTTTAAGGACTAGTTTTAGGATCAGATTTAGAACTTGTTAAAGGATTGGATTAAGGAATTGTTCAGAGACAAGTTTTAGGATCAGATTGAGTAAATGTTTGAGAACTTGTTTTAGGAACAGATTGTGGACTTATTTCAGGACTGGTTTTAGGATCAGATTGAGGAATTGTTTTAATTTATTAAGAACTTTTTAAGGAAAAGTTTTAGGTTCAGATTTAGGACTTGTCTCAGGACTTGTTTTAAGATCAGATTAAGGAATTGCTTAGGGACAAATGTTAGGTTCAGATTGAGGACTTGTTGAAAGACTAGTTTTAGGAACAGATTGTGGACTTATTTCAGGACTGGTTTTAGGATCAGATTGAGGAATTGTTGCAAAACTAGTTTTAGGATCAGATTTAGGACTTGTTTTAGGACTTGTTTTAGGATCAAATTGAGGAATTGTTTGAGAACTAGTTTTAGGATAATATCTAGCACTTATTTCAGAACTTGTTTGAGGATAAGATTGAGAAATGGTTTGAGGACTGGTTTTAGGATCAGATTGAGGAAATGTTTGAGAACTTGTTTTAGGAACAGATTTAGGACTTGTTTCAGGACTTGTTTTAGGAAAAGACTAGTTTTAGGATCAGATTTAGGACTTGTATATGAACTAGTTTTAGGATTAGATTTAGGACTTGTTTTGGACTTGTTTTAGGATCAAATTGAGAAATTGTTTGTGAACTAGTTGTAGGATTAGATTTAGGACTTGTTTCAGGATTTGTTTTAGGAACAGATTGAGAAAATGTTTGAGAACTTGTTTTAGGAACAGATTGTGGACTTATTTCAGGACTGGTTTTAGTATCAGATTGAGGAATTGTTTGAAAACTAGTTTTAGGATCAGATTTAGGACTTGTTTCAGGACTTGTTTTAGGATCAAATTGAGGAATTGTTTGAGAACTAGTTTTAAGATCAGATTTAGGACTTGTTTCAGGACTTGTTTTAGGAAAAGATTGAGGACTTGTTTAAGGACTAGTTTTAGGATCAGATTTAGAACTTGATATAGGATTGGATTAAGGAATTGTTCAGAGACAAGTTTTAGGATCAGATTGAGTAAATGTTTGAGAACTTGTTTAGGAACAGATTGTGGACTTATTTCAGGACTGGTTTTAGGATCAGATTGAGGAATTGTTTGAATACTAGTTTTAGGATCAGATTTAGGACTTGTTTTAGGACTTGTTTTAGGATCAAATTGAGGAATTGTTTAAGAACTAGTTTTAGGATAATATCTAGCACTTATTTCAGAACTTGTTTGAGGATAAGATTGAGAAATGGTTTGAGGACTGGTTTTAGGATCAGATTGAGGAAATGTTTGAGAACTTGTTTTAGGAACAGATTTAGGACTTGTTTCAGGACTAGTTTTAGGATCAGATTTAGAACTTGTTATAGGATTGGATTAAGGAATTGTTCAGAGACAAGTTTTAGGATCAGATTGAGTAAATGTTTGAGAACTTGTTTTAGGAACAGATTGTGGACTTATTTCAGGACTGGTATTAGGATCAGATTGAGGAGTTGTTTGAATACTAGTTTTAGGTTCAGATTTAGGACTTGTTTTAGGACTTGTTTTAGGATCAAATTGAGGAATTGTTTGAGAACCAGTTTTAGGATCATATCTAGCACTTACTTCAGAACTTGTTTTAGGATTAGATTGAGAAACGGTTTGAGGACTTGTTTTAGGATCACATTGAGGAATTGTTTGAGGACTAGTTTTAGGATCAGATTTAGGACTTGTTTAAGAACTAGTTTTAGGATTAGATTTAGGACTTGTTTTGGACTTGTTTTAGGATCAAATTGAGAAATTGTTTGTGAACTAGTTTTAGGATCAGATTTAGGACTTGTTTCAGGACTTGTTTTAGGAACAGATTGAGGACTTGTTTGAGGACAAGTTTTAGGATCAGATTAAGAAATTGTTTAGGGACAAGTTTTAGGATCAAATTGAGAACTTGTTTAAAGACTAGTTTTAAGATCAGATTCAGGACTTGTTTTACGACTTGTATTAGTATCATATCTAGCACTTAATTCAGGAATAGTTTAAGTTCAAATTGAAGATTTGATTGAGGACAAGGTTTAGGATCAGCTTTAGGACTTGTTTAATGATGACTTTTAGTATTATTTCTAGGACTTATTTCAGTACTGGTTTTAGGATTGGATTGAGGAATTGTTTGAGGACTTGGTTTAGGATCAGATTGAGGAATTATTTAAAAACTAATTTTAGGAGTAGATTTAGGACTTGTTTCAGGAATTGTTTGAGGACTAGTTTTAGGATCTGATTTAGTACTTGTTTAATGACTACTTTTAGGATCATGTCTAGGACTTGTTTCAGGACTTGTTTTTGGATCAGATTGTGGACTTGTTTGAGGACAAGTTCTATGATAATATCTAAGAATTAGGATCAGATTAAGGTCTTAATTCAGTACTTGTTTTAGGATCATATCTAGAACTTATTTCAGCACTTATTTTATGACTTGTTTTAGGATCAGATTAAGAACTGGTTCTAGGACTAATTTTTGGATCAAATTGAGGACTTGATTTAGGACTAGTTTTAGTATGATATCTATGACTTCTTGCAGTACTAGTTTGTGGGTGAGATTAAGAACTTGTTGTAGGTCTATTTTTATTTTTAGATTGAGGACTCTTTTCAGGACTTGCGTTTTGGTCCAATTGAGGAATTATTTGAAGGCTAGTTTCTGGATTATATTGAGGATTTGTTTGAGGACCATTTTTAGGATTATATCGAAGACTTATTTTAGGACTATTTTAAGGATCATATCGATAACTAGTTTTTTGGTCATTTTGTAAGAAAGGGCAATTCTAGTTAACTTTGAAATGAATGATTTTTATAGTTTGTAAACTTTGATATTAATTTGCTATGTTTGAAATTTAAAGGGCCATCTAAATAAAATTAATGAAAAATTCATAAAGGCAAAATATGCGAAAGGCAAAATATATGAAAGGTAAACTATATGAATGAAAACTTTTTCATTAAAATCATTATTTAGGGGAAAGGCTTGTAGTTTGACACATCTTAGCTTTTTTGCTCATAACTAAAAAAATAATATCTCATATGATCAATCCATTACAAAGAGAACCTAAATAGGTACAAATTTGACTCATAGATAATTTAAATTTGCAAAAAATTAAATTTTTATATAAAAATATAAAAATGATATAAAATTAACGTTTCGAAATTTAGTTTTGCAGGTTCGACTCACCATGAAAAATAGATAATATGGAACGACTGCAATAAATTTATTAAATTTTATTTACATTTAATGTTTCTGAACATAATAACACAGTGCAACTTTTTTGAGGTCATCGAATGTGCACTAATTTTTGACTTCTTTTCCTGAAAGTACTTATCAAAACTAGCAAAAACCTATTTCAGTTTTGCTAGATTTAGCTCGGATTTGAATTTTATCGACATTTGAATTTTTTTTTAAATGTCGAAATATGTCCTCTTTTTGGCAAGTTATACATAAAAAGTATGCAAGCATTCAAAGATCTCTCCAGTTTAGAATTTAATTCATCAGTAATATCATCATACACTGGACAACAATAATCAAAAAATGGGAAGATAAGTGTCTTGACAAGTAGAAGACGAGTTTCAGTTGGGAAAGAGTCCTTGCTTCTACATATTAAGTTGTTGTAATACTATGTACGTATTACGAGTGATGCTGCCCACGTGCTCCTTCCATGATAAATGACAATTTAATATTAATCCCAAGTCCTTTACTGTTTCTCTAAAGATAATTGGGTTCTTTCCTACCATAAGGGGGGAGAACGTCACAGTTGCAGGGCTTCTCGATGATGATATTAGCATGGCCTGAGTCTTATCCGAGTTGAGAGTAAGTCCATTATCATAGGCCCACTGTACAACGTAATCAATATCGATTTGTATCCTTTTAAACATATCAGGGAGCAATGACAATGGACCAGACAAATAGAACTTAAAGTCGTCAGCATACTTATGATATCTACAATATTTTAATCCACTTCCCAGATCTGAAACCCAGGTTAAAATCCCCGTACAGGATCCTTAAAGGATCCTCTCGGGATCCTGTGCAGGTCCTGTGCAGGATCCCGACCGGATCCCGTACCCGTCCTGTACAGGATCCCGACCGGATCCCGTGCAGGAAATTGGGACAAGGTTCCTGTGCAGGTTCCGATGCAGGAACCCTAGCTATCAAAGATTTCTGTAAAGGTTCCTGTACAGGAACACTTGCAGGATCATGTACAGGAAACTTTGTAAAGGTTCCTGCACAGGAACCTTTACAGTTTTGTAAACTGCAGGTACTTAAGTATAAAGGATCCTGTAAGGAACCCGTAAAGGATCCTACACAGTTTCCTCAATTAATTTATTTATATTTTTAACTCCTGCGCAGTAGTTTTCTATGAGTTTCTCGAATGCGCAATACATTTTTCTGGCCAACATTGTTATACGAGCCTAACATATTGAAATATGAAGTCTATGTATGTCAAATGTTGCTTAACATATAAAAATTAAAAAAATTAAAAAGTTTCCTGTACATGATCCTGCAAGTGTTCCTGTACAGGAACCTTTGATAGCTAAGGTTCCTGCATCGGAACCTGCACAGGAACCCTGTTCCAATTTCCTGCACGGGATCCGGTCGGGATCCTGTACAGGACGTGTACGGGATCCGGTCGGGATCCTGCACAGGACCTGCACAGGATCCCGAGAGGATCCTTTAAGGATCCTGTACAGGGATTTTAACCTGGGAATATACAAATTAAAAAGCAACGAAGATAGTGAAGCACCCTGTGGAACCCCGCATTTAACATTATCCCATTCAGAGAACTCATTACGCCCATTAACCACCCTTTGAAATGTGAAACTCAGATAAGACTTAAACCATTTACAAACTGATTCCGATAACTTAAAGGAATGCAATTTATCAATTAGTAAATTATGATTCACAGAAGGAAATGCCTTCGAAAAATCGAAAAACACTACAACGGTGACATGTTTTGAGTCCATAGCAAGTTCGAAATATTTGGTTTCGAAAAAATAAAAAAATAAATCAAAACCCGCGGTTCGACAGGACCGCGGGTATACAAATGTACAGAAATAAATAAATAACATGAATAATTTTCAACCAATTTTTTTTCCTTTATCAGAAATTAAAAAAGAATTATTGCATTTTATAATTTGACCATTGTGCATTTTTTTTTAATAATCTTTTAATATCCATCAGCGTTCCCACCCGCCCGTATCAAAAAACCGAAAAATTTGAAGAAGTAAAAAAAATCCATAATTGGAACAATTTTTGACCAAATTTTTTTTCTTTGACAGAAATTAAAGAGGAACTAATGCTCTGCAAAATGTGACCATTGCGATTTTAAAAAAGAAAAATTTAATAACCAGCGTTCTCACCCACCCGGATCAAAAACCAGAAAAATTTGAAAAAATACGAAAGAAATTCATAAATCGAACAATTTTCGATCAATTTTTTTTTCAATGTCAGAAATTAAAGAGGAATTATTGCTCTTCAAATGGTGACCACTGGGAATTTTTTTTTATAATCTTTTAATAGCCAACTTTCTCACCCGCCCGTTTCAAAAAACCGAAAAATGTAAAAAAGTCAAAAAAAAATTTTTTAATAAACTTTTAATAGCCAGTGTTTCTACCCGCCCGTATCAGAAAACTGAAAAATGTGAAAATTCAAAAAAAAAATTTAAATGTCGATAAAATTCTTTATGTATTGCATTGTGTAATTTAAATTTAAATTATTTCAATTACGTAAAATTGAATTGTAAAAAAGTGGACTTCAACAATATTTTATATTGGATTTTTTTCCTTTGAATATTAAATTTAATTGTCAGAGAACATTCTCAAAAAATTAATTAATTTTATGTTTTAATTAATTAGTTAATTAATTAATTAAAACAGTTTTTTTAATTATACAAAAATAGTGAAAATGAATTTTCAAACAAGTTTTGTTTATTTATTAAATTTATTATTTATTTATCTTTTATTTATTTTATATATTTTTTAAAATGTTTTAATTAATTAGTTAATTAATTAATACATTTTTTTTAATTATACAAAAATAGTGAAAATGAATTTCCAAACAAGTTTTGTTTATTTATAAAACTTATGACAATTTACAAATTGATTTTAACTTCTTCTTTTTTAATTTTTAATTTTGTTGTTATATATATTTGTTATCGCTTTCATCACACAGGAAACAGCTTTTTGAGAATAAAATTAATTTTTCACATGCTTTTCACTCATTACCATATTTTCTTATCCTGGAACAAAAAATAAATTTACCAATTTTTGTTCTAATATTTACATGAGAAATAAAATAGAAAAATTTTCAGAAATAAATTTTGAAATAAATTAACTTAATAATATTATTTAATAAACATTCCTAATAAAAATAGATTTAATTATTTTCAATACATATTTTTATTCTATTTAACCTTTGTTTTTAAATTATAAATGTTAATTATAGATATATTTCAACCTGGAAATGATTTGCCAATTACCTATTTTACTTTGTAAAATATTTACTTTCATTTACCTTCATTAATTTTAATGTCTAACACATTTTTTAATAAATTATACAATTTTCACGTTACATACATTTTTCATTTTATAACAAGTTAACCTTTTTTAATCAACATGAATTTTTAATATAGTTTTACTAATTTATACTAACCTTTTTAATATTTTATTTATTTTTATTTCATGCGCACGTTACTTCGCAATTCAAGTTCTTCTCTACAATTCAAATATAAAATATCTTTTAACTTTTTGGTGAATTTCTTTAACAATTGATTCATATCACTCCATATCATTTAGGCAGAAGTCAGTCATTCCTTCTGTTTACTTTTTTCATAGAGAAGTTTGTCGCATGACAAAAATGGTGTTCAAATGCTTTACATTTATCGTGACTTTTCAATCCATTTAATTTAAATTTATTTTAAAACTATTTAGAATTTCGCAAAAAAAAGAAAAAGTGCTGTCTTAGAATTTTTTTCTGAATCTAATTCTACAATTTTGAATACGACTTTCAGATCACCTTGTAGAATTCAGTAAAAAACTGATATTTTAAACGTTGGATTAGTGAAAGAGAATATTATTAATCGGAACGAACTGCCGGATCCCAATGTTTTCACTGCTTTATGTAAACTAAAATTGACTGCCTTTATTCTCGTGTTATTTATGATATTTTTTATTTCTAATGCACAAGAATGTCGATTTCAGATAGCAGACGGCAGGGAGTAGAAGTCATTCACTTGTTCGATTTATATGAAAATTGCGGCCTTTTTTTCCATGGGCAAAAATAACGCTCGGGACCAGCTGATTTTATTGCCCATGAGAGAACACGGCCGCCATTTTCATACGGTAAAAGAAATGAATGATTTCCCAAGCAGCACGGAATGTAACCTAAAGATGAAGGGAATATTACATTTCATATTCGGAGTATTCTAGTGGAATATTCCAGGGATCTTAAAGTAATATTAAAATGTCCGCTTCACAGGAATATTACAAGATAACATTGAGGGAATGTTCCACGGTAATATCGAAGCAATATTCTAGGATGATGTCGACGGAATGTTCCATCGTAATATTAATGGAATATTCCAGGTTCACGTTGAATATTGATGTACGAATATTGATACCAAAATTTCATACTTTGAAAAAATTTGACTTTTTTTTCTTTTTTCTTCTTTCTTTAGTAAAAATGAGATTTAATGGCATTTTCAACATATTTAATATTACCTGGGAACATTCCATCAACATGACCCTGGAATATTCTATTAATATTACGGTGGAACATTCCCTCAACATCATCCTGGAATATTGCTTTGATATTACCGTGGAATATTCCCTCAATGTTATCTTGGAATAGTCCTGTGGGGCGGACATTTTAATATTATTTAAGATCCCTGGAACATTCCACTGGAATACTCCGAATATGAAATGTAATATTCCCTTCATCTTCAGGGTATATTCCGTGCAGCTTGGGTTTCCTCCCTATAGTCTGCTATCAGAGAGCGCCATTTTTATGCATGTGGGATAAGAATATCTTTAACAATCTGTTTGGGTAAAATATCAAATTTACTATTTGAAAAAAACCTCATAAACTAATTGTAATGTTATCATGAATTTTTAAGGATTATAATTTTTTTCTTATTCTGTTGGAAATTATTCTATACTCTATTTTATTCTCGTCTAAAGCAGACAAAGTAAAGTTAAAATTGAGGACACTAAATGACAACTTATTCAGTATGTAACAAGAGATAAAATAGGAAATAAAATTAATAGTATAATAAATGAAACATAGGACTAAAAATTTGTTACTACTTTTCTTGAAAGAAAAAGTTAATCAAAGAAAGAATAAGTAATAAGTCAAATACTAACATATACAAATGCTATACTAATTTCGAATAATATTGCATAAACACTTGCTAACAAATAAAGTTTGTCCAAGGCACTAGAATATTAAAGAAACAATTTTTTTTATAACAAGTTTTAAGAAAATGGTTTTCTCTGAATACAGGAAACATAAAAAAACACCTTTACTAAAAATTTAATTTCAAATAGATAATTACCTGATTAAAATTTTTATTTTTCTACAATTATGTATAAAATCAACAAAAAGTTATAATATTGTTTTAAACATTTGTATATGTGATCTTTAATTATATTAACAAAATTAACCAAATGTTTATTCAAATTAAAGTTCAAGATACCAGTACTATACTTTTCGATAAAGAACAAGTATATTATTCATTTAAATATTTTAAAAAACAAATTATTTTGTTGTAATAAATTTTACGAGGCCTTATACGGTTTAAACAATTTTATTTATTTCAACAAAATAAATGAAAACGGATGTAAAATTTATCAAAGAAAAACAAATTATGTTTCATTGTTGC